CCTTTGCTTTTTACAAGTTCTTTCTGTTTATAGTGTTCGAATTTAGCGATTATTGGTCTGGGTCGATTTTGTGAGCGGGCTCCGAGACGGTGTACACAGTGGAAGGAGATGCTTCACGGTTTCAGTCGGCAGTTTCAATTTCGTCTGCATAAAGTCTTTAATTAATAGTTCTGGATTATCCATTTCGTTTTCAGGTATTCCGGAAAAGATGAGATTGTCTCGCATATTTCGAGTCTGAATGTCAAGAATAGTTTCTTTCATTTCTTTGTTTTCCTTTTTGATGAGCTCGTTTATCTGTTCTTGAGAAAATTCGAAACTAGTTCGTAGGTCTCTCACGTCCTGGTGCAGTATTCCTAGTATATCTGGTTTTTTATTGATGGATGCCAGTACACTGACCTGTATTTCGATGGTGTTTAGATCATCCGTGTCAGTGGAGGAATCGGTTTTCTTCCGCTTTGCTGGGTTGTGTACCTCTTCCTTCGGATCCATCTCGACTTCCATCTCGTGGTAAAAGTATCGATCGATAAAGTTTTCCAGACCTTCCACTGTAGCAGTGTGTACAAGATGACCCAAGGCCAAAGTTAAATATCCACGAAGTCGGAGGAGGCCACAATTTCGGACTGCAGCAGACTTCTTACTGTCTAGCAGCAGGACGCCGCCATGTTGGATTCACCTCTGCGTTCTCCGGATTCACCCTTTGCGCATCTCTGACCTTTTATCATTAGACTCATTACTGACCTTTTATCATTAGACTCGTTACTGACCTTTTATCATTAGACTCATCTGTGACCTTTTATCATTAGACTCGTTACTGACCTTTTATCATTAGACTCGTTACTGACCTTTTATCATTAGACTCGTTTCTGACCTTTTATCATTAGACTCATCTGTGACCTTTTATCATTAGACTCGTTACTGACCTTTTATCATTAGACTCGTTACTGACCTTTTATCATTAGACTCGTTACTGACCTTTTATCATTAGACTCGTTACTGACCTTTTATCATTAGACTCGTTACTGACCTTTTATCATTAGACTCATTACTGACCTTTTATCATTAGACTCGTTACTGACCTTTTATCATTAGACTCGTTACTGACCTTTTATCATTAGACTCGTTACTGACCTTTTATCATTAGACTCGTTACTGACCTTTTATCATTAGACTCGTTACTGACCTTTTATCATTAGACTCGTTACTGACCTTTTATCATTAGACTCGTTACTGACCTTTTATCATTAGACTCGTTACTGACCTTTTATCATTAGACTCGTTACTGACCTTTTATCATTAGACTCGTTACTGACCTTTTATCATTAGACTCGTTACTGACCTTTTATCATTAGACTCGTTACTGACCTTTTATCATTAGACTCATTACTGACCTTTTATCATTAGACTCGTTACTGACCTTTTATCATTAGACTCGTTTCTGACCTTTTATCATTAGACTCGTTACTGACCTTTTATCATTAGACTCGTTACTGACCTTTTATCATTAGACTCATTACTGACCTTTTATCATTAGACTCGTTACTGACCTTTTATCATTAGACTCGTTACTGACCTTTTATCATTAGACTCGTTACTGACCTTTTATCGTTAGACTCGTTACTGACCTTTTATCATTAGACTCATCTGTGACCTTTTATCATTAGACTCGTTACTGACCTTTTATCATTAGACTCGTTACTGACCTTTTATCATTAGACTCGTTACTGACCTTTTATCATTAGACTCGTTACTGACCTTTTATCATTAGACTCGTTTCTGACCTTTTATCATTAGACTCGTTACTGACCTTTTATCATTAGACTCGTTACTGACCTTTTATCATTAGACTCGTTACTGACCTTTTATCTTAGACTCGTTTCTGACCTTTTATCATTAGACTCGTTACTGACCTTTTATCATTAGACTCGTTACTGACCTTTTATCATTAGACTCGTTACTGACCTTTTATCATTAGACTCGTTACTGACCTTTTATCGTTAGACTCGTTACTGACCTTTTATCGTTAGACTCGTTACTGACCTTTTATCATTAGACTCGTTACTGACCTTTTATCTTAGACTCGTTACTGACCTTTTATCATTAGACTCATTACTGTCCTTTTATCAGCATGTTATTAATTTTAGACTCGTCACTCATTTCTAGTTTAAGCCCCTCCCACTTCCAGCTCATAATAGACCACTGTAGGATCAACAGGATTTTCTCTGCGCCACTTAAGGTGGAACAGGAAAATTCAAACAAGCAGCTGGTGAAAAAGAAGCATTGAGAGGCCTGATATGAGGAGGTTTCTCCGTTTCCGCTTTCCAGCTGAGTATAATTAACTTCTGTGAAGCAGCAAAAATAAGTCAGTATTTTGTCCTGTTTGCTAATGTTTGTGACAGCTGATCACAACTGCTGCCCCATTTAAGGTGGAACGGGAACGTTTAAGCAGGAGGCTGTGAAAAAGAAATTCATTCATATATTTAAAATTCATCTATTTAATTCTATTTATTTCTGTAAACAAACATTTCGATAAGGTAGCACAGCTTGTCAGAACACCACCACAGCCTGCTTTACTTTAATGTAGCTTAATGACATTAAATTGATGCGCAGTAGCTTTAGCTCGCATGTAGCAATATTAGTGATAAGGCTCTTTAATGACCTCATAATTCAGAGGATCCAGTGATATTCAGGAGAAAACTGTACACAGGACAAGCGTATGGGGTTCGGAACCTTTTTTTATTCAGCACAGGGGGCGATAGAGGCGACAACCCCATTCATTCTGGCCATAGAGAAATCAGGCTTAAAACCCAAAGTTCCTAATATGGACATAACGTGGACTACAGAAAGACACTTGACTACAGTGGTCTATTCAAAAATAATGTATAAAAATGTCTCAGTATTTATTATTAAAATCTAGGTATCAGTGTTGGTTTGAGTCTAATTTTGAACAGTGCTCAACTTATAATACCCTTGAATGAGTGACAGAGTTTGGCCCCTGACTTTAGTGGCAGCTTCAAAACACTTCACCACTTGTTGAGGCAGAGTGTTAAGCAGCCTCACAGAGCGCCTCAGTGAAATGAGCTCTAATGGCAACAGTGAGTCCTAGAGCTCTTCAGTGAAATGGGCTGGTGGCTACAGGGGCTCTTGGTTACCATGGTCTGGTTGGAAGAGTGGAATTGTTGAAAATGTTCTGCAGATTTGCCATCATCCTCTTCTGTCACTGCCTCCACTGAGTCCAGAGTCCTGTGACGATGCTGTCCTTCCTGGTCAGTTTATTGAGGTTCTTGTTGTCTCCACAGTGTTTTCCCAGCAGAGAATAGAATTCTACTACAGCAGACTGGTAGAACAATCCCTGCACAGATTAACAGACCTGCCCAGTCCAGTTGGTCATCCAGGTAGCCCCCAGGTACTTGGAGCACTGACCCTTCTGCACATGTTCTGTAGATGATGACTGGGTTCACTGTGCCATGTGCCAGAAATCCATGACCCCTTCCTTTGTCTTGAGGTAGTTATGTTCTAACTGCAGTTTGGGGGGAGGAGCATAGGCTGAAACCCCTTCTTCTTCTGCCCTATAAATTCCCATCCTCACCTTCCTGTGATGAAGTGTTCTCAATCCCCTCCGCCTCCCCATCTCCTCCCTGTTCCTCGGTCCTACATTAGTCCTACTGCAGCTACGAGGGTCCCGCCTTCCAGCTACAGACAGAAGCTGCTCAGAACTCCAGCCCAAGTTCTCAGAGTTCTCCCCCCCTCCCTCAATCAGTCTTCCCTCATACTACCACCACCATGTTGAAGGCAGGGTCTGAACTCACAAACTGATGTTAGCCTGTTCAAGTAGCCCATGATGATGCCCTTTGGAACTGGGGATTGATGGGAAATGGAGTAGTTATTGAGGAAACAGTTCAGTCAGTGTTCATCTGGGTTCTCTCCATATGATGAACATAGCAAGTTCCAGTGTGTCTCCTTCAGTCCAGCCTGCAGAGCCTCCTCATCCTGGTCTGTCCACTTTCTCAGAGTCCTGGTAGTAACAGGCAGCCAGTGAAGTGCAGGTTATGTTACCACATGTAATCATGTATTACAGTTATCACATGTAATAACAGAAAACTCCTGTAATTCCACTGGAGTACTTGGGGTCATCTATGAAAACATGCTTACATTCAGTTTAGGTATTAATATTATGTGCTTTGCCATTTGACTTGTGAACATTGGAAAAAATGTGAAAAGTCTGAGATTTTCTGTGTAAAGTGTAAAGAAACAATGTGTGTTTGTCAACCTTTAACCATGAATTACCATTAATTTCCACATGTACAGTATTTAAATCAAAGTTTTAACTGTTAGTGTGATATTACACTTGTCTAGGAATATTTGTTAGTTTTAGAAACTGACAGGAGAAATCAAGACTGGAACACCTGTAACATTAAGTCTGAAGCCTGAGGTAAACCAAAAGAAACATGTACTAACTGAAGTAGCTCAAATATAATACAATAAATGATCAGAAGATTATTATGGTTATGTAAATTATTGATGTCTGTCATTGTGTAACAGGCAGCCAGTGAAGTGCAGATTATCAGCCATCGTTAGTAAACAAATAACTCATGTAGTTCCACAGGAGAATGTGGGTCACCTATGAAACATGCTTACATGTAATTTAGGGCATTAATATTATGTGCAATGACAGTTTGTGCTGACTTGTGAACATTAGAAAAATGTGAAAAGTGTGATTTTTGTGTTAGTATAAAGAAAACAGTGCACATTTATTAACCTTTAACCATGAACAGCTACAGGAATTCCCACATGTACAATTTTTAAAAAGAGTTTAAACTATTAATGCTATATTACAGTTATCTAAGACTATTTAACATAAAGTTTGTCTGGGGAGCCTGAGGTAAACCAAAAGAAACATTTACTGAAGTAAAATTTTCAAATTTAGTATAATAAATTATTAGAAGATTATTATGGGTATTTGTATTAATGATGTTTGTGTTACTGTGTTTGGTCCTGATTAGGCAGCACTCCACACAAACACCACTGCAGATAAACACTCTAGCAGATATTCACCAACCAGTGGATGATGTTCTACACAGAGTCTTAGAGAGACACAAAACCAGCATGAAGAACAAGTACGAGAGCTTATTTGAGGGAATCAGAACAGAAGAGAATAAAACCCTCCTGAACAGGATTTACACTCAGCTCTACATCATAGAGGGAGAGAGTGAAGGAGTGAATGAAGAACATGAGGTTCTACAGATGGAGAAAACATCCAGGAGACGCTTACAAGACTCTCCAATCAACTGCTTAGACATCTTTAAACCTCTACAGGGTCCTGAAGGAGAAACACTAGAAGAGACCATCAGAGCTGTGAAGGCTGACAGACTCAGACACAGAGAAGGAGAAGATAACAGACCAGAAGAGCCAGAGCTCAGAGCTGCTCTGACTAAAGGCATCGCTGGAATTGGAAAAACTGTCTCTGTGCAGAAGTTCATTCTGGACTGGGCTGAAGGAAAAGCCAATCAGGATGTGGAGCTCATGTTTGTGCTGCCGTTCCGGGAGCTGAACCTGATTAAAGATGATCAATACAGTCTTCATGGACTTCTGTGTGACTTCCATCCTGAGCTCAAAGATCTGGACCCAGAGATTTATGATCAGATCAAAGCTGTGTTTATATTTGATGGTCTGGATGAAAGCAGAATTCCACTGAACTTTGACCAGTGTGAGAAAGCATCTGACATCACCATGACATCATCAGTGGGTGTGTTGATGACCAACCTCATCAAAGGAGAGCTGCTTCCCTCTGCTCTGATCTGGATCACCTCCCGACCAGCAGCAGCCAATCAGATCCCTCCTAAATACATCAACCGTGTGACCGAAATTCAGGGATTCAGTGACCCACAGAAGGAGGAGTACTTCAGGAAGAGGATCAGTGATGAAGACCAAGCCCAGAGAATCATCTCCCACATTAAGACAGTGAGGAGCCTCCACATCATGTGCCACATTCCAGTCTTCTGCTGGATCTCAGCCACTGTTCTTCAGAGAATCATGAAACAGTGTCATACAGAAATCCCTAAAACTCTGACTGAAATGTACTCACACTTCCTGATCACTCAGACCAACATGAAGAACGAGAAGTATGAGGAGGAAGACGAGAGAGACCCAAAGAACCTGCTGGAGTCCAACAGAACCGTTCTTCTGAAACTGGCTGAACTGGCTTTCAAACAGCTGATGAAGAGCAATGTGATGTTCTATGAAGAGGACCTGAGAGAGAGCAGCATTGATGTCACTGAGGCCTCAGTGTATTCTGGGATTTTCACTGAGATCTTTAGGGAGGAATGTGTGCTTCACCAGAGGAAGGTCTACTGCTTTGTTCATCTGAGCTTTCAGGAGTTCCTGGCTGCTCTTTATGTGTTTCACTGCTATGAGAACAAAAACATGGAGGAACTGGAGATACTTAAACCACTGTACAGTGAGTGGTCTGAGAATGATCCACTGGATGAGGTTCTGATGGGAGCAGTGAATAAAGCTGTAGAGAGTCAGAATGGACACCTGGATCTTTTTCTCCGTTTCCTGCTGGGCGTCTCACTCAAGTCCAATCAGAGACACCTACAGGGTCTACTGACCCCAACACAGAGCAGCTCAGAGAGAACCAGAGAGCACATCAAGAGATTAATCAAAGGAGAAGATGATAGTGATGATGATGGTGATGATGATGATGAACAATTTCCCTTCTCCACTGAGAGGTCCATCAATCTGTTCCTCTGTCTGTCTGAAATGAATGACCAGTCTCTCTCCAGAGAGATTCAGGAGTTTCTAAAATTAGAGAGACACTCAGAGGTGAATCTCTCTCCTGGACAGTGTTCAGCACTAGCCTGCATGCTCCTGACCTCAGAGGAGGTTCTGGATGAGCTGGACCTGAAGAAATACAACACATCAGAGGAGGGTTATAGGAGACTGATCCCAGCTCTGACTGTCTGCAGGAAAGCTCGGTGAGTGTTACATCTACATTAATACAGCAGATTAATATCTGATTATTGATGATTGATTAGGGCTGAACATGTTAGATTTTCAGTTCAGACAATTAAAAATAAATTTTATTTATTATAGTTTGTTATTATGAAGTACTGCTTTGCCACTTTGTTAGAAACCCCTATGTTTGGAGTTAGGACTGAATGATATATTGTCAGTATAGACTGTGGTACACTGTGATATTGACATTGTGATAGAGCTCTTCAGTTTTAGGAACAATAAGCATGAGCTTAAAATTACACTAAATATTTCAACATTTTCATAAAAGTACATGTAACTGAGTAAATTCAATAAACAGTGTTAAACAATAGCTAATTTAGATGGTTTTATCTAGAATCAACAATTATATATAATTAAACCAAGGCTCATTTACATGACCTTGAATTTTGCACATTAACAGTAAATAGAATTTTATAATAAAGTTCAAGTGATATTACTCTAAATGTCAACACTTTAATTCCATCTGTGGAGAATTACACAGGAGGAGATGAGTTTATATGACATTAGAATGAGCTCGAGCGGATTACTTAACTGAACCTCTTATTCCCCAGGGTTTATTTTGGTTTGTCCATCTGAATTTGCATGACCAAATCACAAGACACATTATTCAGTAACTGTGTGAAATAAATGTAAATTATTATTTTTTATTTACAGTATTTATTTACTTTTTGTAAAAGTTCCCCTCAAATTAACAGAACATGTGTTTTATGATCCCACATATTGCTATATGCTTACAATTTACTGCTGAAAGCCAAAAATCTTAGACGCTCTTTGTATTATTTTATAAAAATAATGTTTACAGAGCAGATCACTGAAGAGACGCCATCTGTTTATAGTTTATAGCCCAGATTGAGTTCAGCTTCTTTTATTATAAAGGTTTTAAAATTACATCACCATCTATTTGACTGTAAAGAAGACAGTTACAGCCTCATATGACCCCCACCTTTAGAATGTAGCTTATGAAATATGAAAGTTATGAAGAATATGATGAAGTTAATCTTACATTCTCCACTTTTCCTAATAAAAGACCTCAAATTATAAAACATTCAGATGAACCCCATTCAGTGACGTTTCTCATGTTGAACACTTTGACTGTGTTACATAAAAGAACTCATTTCAGATTTCTAACTCTTTCAGTGAATGAACAGTTATTGAAGTCCGAGCAGTAAAACTGGGCAGTAGGCAGTTAAAATTAGGCAGCAAAGTCTCTCTTGGACTGAAATGAACCAGTTAGCGTTTAGCGTCGTCTGACACAAACACACACAATTCACTCTTATTTCAGTGCAGCTTCTCTCAACTGTCCAATACTAAAGACCTGAGAAATGGAAGCTCCGACTAGCAGCTTCAGTGTTTGAGCCACCAGATCCAGAATCTAATTAGGAGTCAGAGAACTCTGACCTACCTGAGAGTCGGCTTCGTTCACCTCAGTCTGATACAGACCTGTCATTTTTCTTCCTATTTATGCAAATTAGCAACCATTACAGTGTTAGCAGAGGGACCCGCTAAGTACAGCTTTAGTTTTATATTGTTTGTAGTTAGTAGTAAGAAACCACTAGTAACGCCCCCTTCTGGAGTAAAACTGGGGGAACAGGTTCTCCAGTTGCTCCATAGACCACTGTAGTCTGTAGTCGCCGCCATGTTCTTATGCCCATATTAGGAACTACAGGCCTAAGCTCCATTTCTGTATGGCCAGAATGAATAGGGTTTTCGAAAAATCGCCTCTAGCGCCCCCTGTGTTAAATAAAAATGTTCAGAACCCGATACGTTCTGTCCTGTGAACATTCTTCTCCTGAATATCACTGGATCCTCTGAATTACGAGGTCGTTAAAGAGTTGAAATATGAATATTTCTACATGTGAGCTAAAGCTACTGCGCACTGAATTCACGTCATTAGACTGACAGCCTCCTTAATCAGGTTATCACCCCCTGATAAACTGATTTAGGTGATCAGAATATCATAATTATTATTTTAATGCTGGTAACATTTTTCTGAGGACGTTTTCTCAGGACATTCGCCAGCTTTTTGTTGGACTTTTCCCGTTCCACCTTAAATGGTGCAGCAGTCGCGTTCTGAACGGCTGCGCCATTTAAGGTGGAACGGGAAAATTCGAACAAGCGGCCGGTGAAAAAGAAGCTGACTCAGCTTCATGGAGGGTTGAAAGGCCTGATATGAGGAGGTTTCTCTATTTCTGCTGAACAGCTCAGTAACATTAACTTATTTTTGCTGCTTCACAGAGTCGACAGGTCAGTATTTTGTCTCGTTTGCTTATGTTTGTGATAGCTAGTCACAGCTGCTGCACCATTTAAGGTGGAACGGGAACATTCAAACAAGAAGCTGCGAAAAAAAAGCTAAATTCAGCCTCGTAGTTTAACATGGGGAGTATTTTTGAATAGGAGTTTTAGTCTTTCAAAATATCCCACCTAGAGGTTTTATTTACAGGTATACCTCTAAATATGCACTACAGTAGAACATTTTGATCAGGTAGCACAGCTCGTCAGAGCAGCGCCACAGCCCACCTTGGTTTTGTGTAGCTTAGTGACATCAAATAGATGTGCAGTAGCTTTAGCTCACATGTAGCAATATTAGTATTATAGCTCTTAGATGACCTCGTAATTCAGGGGATCCAGTGTTATTCAGGAGAAAAATATACACAGGACAAAACATATCAGGCTTTGAACATTTTTCCGTTCCACCTTAAATGGCGCAGCCGTTCAGAACGCGACTGCTGCACCATTTAAGGTGGAATGTCAAGTCAAGTCAAGTCAAGTCAAGTCAAATTTATTTATATAGCGCCTTTTACAACAGATGTTGTCACAAAGCAGCTTTACAGAGAATTCGGGTCCACGCCCCCAGTGAGCAAGCCTTGGCGACAGTGGCAAGGAAAAACTCCCTCAGCAGGAGGAAGAAACCTTGAGAGGAACCAGACTCAAAAGGGGAACCCATCCTCCTCTGGTCGACACCGGATAAGAGGACAGACACAAAACAGTATAAGTGGATACAGTTTAACACCACTGTGCAGTGCGCCGGCCGCATCTCAGGTCAGACCCTCTTAGGACAGGCAGCCACTCAGCTCAGGGAAAGAGAGGGGGAGGGGGAAGGGGGGGGGTAGGGGGGAGGGGGGATGAGAGGGACATAGTTAGAAAAACAAATTAACCAAAGGCTCGACTAAACAGGTACGTTTTTAGCCTAGACTTAAAGATGGAGGCTGTGTCTGAGTCCCGAACACAGACTGGTGGGCTATTCCAAAGCTGGGGGGCTTTGTATGAAAAGGCTCCTCCCCCTGACGTAACTTTATTTATTCTGGGTACTAATAATGAGCAGCACCTTGTGATCTAAGTGGGCGTGTCGGTTGATAATAGGAAATAAGGTCACTGAGGTACTGAGGATCAAGGCCATTCAGAGCTTTATATGTCAGTAGAAGAATTTTGTACTCAATGCGGAATTTAACTGGCAACCAATGTAAGGTACACAAAATTGGGCTAATGTGGTCGAATTTCCTGGTTTTGCTGAGAACTCTGGCTGCAGCGTTCTGGACTAACTGAAGCTTGTTAAGGTTTTGGCTGGAACAACCAGAAAGCAGAGCGTTACAGTAATCTAACCTGGACGTGATAAAGGCGTGAACTAACGGGAAAAGTCCAACAAAAAGCTGGTGAATGTCCTGAGAAAATGTCTTCAGAAAAATGTTACCAGCATTAAATTAATAATTATGATATTCTGAGAGCCGAAATCAGTTTATCAGGGGGTGATAACCTGATTAAGGAGGCTGTCAGTCTAATGACGTGAATTCAGTGCACAGTAGCTTTAGCTCACTTGTAGCAATATTCATATTTCAACTCTTTAACAACCTCGTAATTCAGGGGATCCAGTGTTATTCGAGAAAGGAATGTTCACAGGACAGAACGTATCGGGTTCTGAACATTTTTATTTAACACAGGGGGCGCTAGAGGAGATTTTTCTAAAACCCTATTCATTCTGGCCATAGAGAAATGGAGCTCAGACCCAGAGTTCCTAATGGGCATAACGAGGACTACAGAATGACCACGACTACAGTGGACTGTTGTTCAGGTTCTGAACACCTACAGCTACACTGGGCAGATAACCTGAACTTTAATCTGGTCACTTAAAGTCTTGATGTCTGTCTGCAAGCTTTTATTAGCTATCATTTAAAAATACATTTGGTGTGATCAGTCAGTGTTATGAAAATAATGTGTTTTTTGATATTATGGTTTTGAAAACAGCATCAAATGTCAGAACTTTTTCAACTGTTGTGTCAAACTTTAAAAATCCAATATTGTGACAGAACTCAGAGAATTCATGCACCATAAGTGACCATCTTATATGTCTCATTTCAGCAGTGCTTTGGATTGTTTCAAACTGGTCTATTGTTTAATGGGACTGTCTGTGCAGATACAGTTCTATACAAAAGTCTAGGCACCCCTGGACAAATTACAAACCCAATTCCATAAAATGTTGTGACACAGTGTGAAATACCAATAACACAGAAAGCAGTGATGAGTGAATTCTGTTTGAACTGTTAAATTAAAAAATAGCCTAACAACGTTATTTTACCTCATGTTTTTCCTTCTGAGCTTATTTCAATTTGTTCAAAAAAGGCAGGTCTATCACTTTATTACATCACCTTTCCTTTTACCTGTATAAATAATTGTATGTGGACTGAAGACACAAACTAATCAGTTCTGAAAGTGGATTTTTTGCCATTCTATCATTATTCCAGTCTTCAGCTGTGCAGTCAGTGGAGCCTTTATTGTTGTATTTTGCTCTTCATAATGTGCCACACATTTTCAGTAAGAGACGGCAGGCCAGTCTAGAACCCTCACTCTCTGATTATGTAGTCATGCTGTTCTAACACATACAGCTTGTTTTTGACCTTGTTTTTAAAGCAAAGACATTTTTCTAAATTCCCTGAATCTTTTCATACTTTTACATTACACACCGTAG